ATATGTATATGTATATATATATATATATTTATATATATACATATATATATATATACATATTAAGTATATATGTTATATATATATGTTATATATATGTTTGCAATTCAAAGCCGGGACCTTAAAATAAATAAATAATAAGATTTATATAGTGCACAAATTTACTGCAGTAGTGCTTAAGGCGCTACATGAGGAATGAACCAAAATTTACTGTGGACCTAAATTTTCCAGAAAAGAAACACTACAAATATCACCTCACCGTTTACAGGCAGTTTTTCTTCGGCTGCCTATGCAAAGAGAATACCAGGTGGGGCACCTATTTTCACTCGTAGATTCCTGTTCTTTAATGTTCAAATATAAATGAATTTTAATGGAACAGGTATCAAGTATCCGTAAATTTTCTATTTTTGTCATAATGGTAACCTAACCTTGGCTAATACATATCAGATAATTATAAACAGTTGGCATTAAAGAAAGCAGGGTGATTATTAAAGATATACAATGATGTTGACACAGGGATGTGGTAAGTGGTGGGAACACGATAATGAACCTAAAGTGTGATAATGTAATTTAGAATATATATGCTGCTGATTCCTCTTGGATTTTCTGCTGTCTATGCCTAATGGTGGGTAAAGGTAGTAGAATAACCCATAACACCATTGAAATTTTCATTGGGCTAGCGACATGTATACCTCAACATGCGTCTTGCAGTAAGGACATAATTTCTCAACGTCATAATAACCTACGTACCCAACACCTAATACAAAATTACACATCCTGGGTTTGACATTCATCTTTCCTAATGACTTGTAGTACAGCTTAGTATAAAACATACTCCAAATAAGTAAGACTTGTCATTTAATTTTTCAGGTTTGAGCCGTGCTGCTTCATCTAAGCAGGTTGCAATTCAAGGTACAATCTCATATTTATTTTATTATCAACCCTTTATCATTGCTTCCTAATGAATCTGAGAGGAAAAACCTAATTAATACAGTAGACATACTTTTTTGTTTGTAATCAGTGTAATGAAGGTATAGTCTTAGTATTATACCTGTTTATTAAACTGTTGGAAGACGTGAGTATGATATGAATTGAAAGTGTAATACAGCTGTTGTAGTCCTATGGTAGTAAATAAGGTCTAACAAATGTTCCCATGTTCAAACTGTTGAAATGCCATGTTTCAGGCTTGTTGATAGGTATGCCTATGCCTACTAAATACATTTTCCATTAAACTATCGCATCCTCCTACTGATATGTCGGTCCTTAGTGCATAAAAGCAAATGTGCACAAACATTTACTTTGCTTACATTTTTATATGGAAGGGGATTGTCAACCTAACAAAGGCCTGTTCATGTGGCAGCATTGTCTTGGAGGGCCTCTCTTAAGATAGAGAGATTATTTTTCTAGCAATATTTGATAATAACATTCATACAAAATTCCACATCTACCAAATGCAAATATAATATGATATTGATATTGATATGCTGTTTCTTTTTCAAAGAAATGACAGTTAAGCAATTCAATGTTCTTAAAATGGATGTCTCCGAGTGGTATGACAGCAACCAATGTCTTCCTATGTTGAAAGTGTTGTTCAGAGATCATGTGGAAATTGGGAGACTATCAGGATTAACTAACACAATGGAATTACTGAATGAATTGGTTACACGTAATCACTTGCATTTAAAAAATATTGGTATTTTGTGTGATACCATCAGCATAACTGAACATAATGGTCTTCAACAAAAGATTGCAAAAAGACTACCATCATTCCCAGATGTTAAGGATAGAATCATTACAAAACAGTTCACAAATCACAGACGAAAACTAATGAAATGTGGGATGAAACTGACCTCAGCCGATGTTAGAGGAATTGATGGATTGTATAATATTCCTCTTAAAAAATACACTGACAGTTGGAGTATGATCACTGATTTTGAAAACAGAATGGAAATCATTGACGGAGATATGGAGGAATTCATTGATTCATTGGAAATCCTTAAAATCCCTCTTGCATTGAATGCACTGAAAGATGGTAATTTTATTTTTTTATAGAAAACTGATTGTTGTCAGATGGACCATTTCGTTCGAAAATTTTCTCTCAAAATATGCCGTTATTTGTAGGCCTAGGGCTATTGAAATGTAATAAATGCTTTTATTTCTTCTAATATTTGCTTTTATTCTTTCCTATGCATTTTCTTTTCATTCTGTTTCATCTTTTCTTTTTCATTCTTACATCTTATCTTTCCTTTTCTTTTCATCTTGTCTTTCATTTCCTTTCTTTTCATCTTTTCCATTTATTATATGTTTTCTTATCCTTTTTATGCCTACATTATAGAGTAAAACTCTCAAATTTAATCGGTAATTTGTAAATTTCTTTCTCTTCTATCCATAATAATTATGTAGATAATAAAATAATAATTACGAATTAAGAGACGCTTACTGTATAATTTCAAAAACAAAATTTAATAACAAGAAAAATTGACGTTTCAGGTCCGTTGTGGAGCCATTCTCAAGATCAAGTGAATTTTTAAAAAAACTATAAAACAGACATCAAGCAGTGACAGGAAGTATGTAATTAATTAACATATCAATAAGGGGCTACTGTGTGAAGCCATTGTGGAGCTAAGCAATAATTAGCCCCTCCTATAGTAGATTAATTGATATGTACTTCCTGTCACTGCTTCATGATATTTCTGTTTTATAGTTTTTAAAATTCACTTGATTTTGAGAATGGTTCCATGATGGATGAAATGTGGATCTTTCTTGTCATTAAATTTTGTTTTGAAAAAAAAAAAATTATATTAATATAAAAATGATAACATCTAAAATTTATAGAATGCTCTTTACTTGTGTCTTACAGCACTATAATTTTATTGAAACAACTAAATTTTAAGGAGAAACTTTAATCAGTGTATATCTGCACCTTGACATGGAATGAGATTACGTGAACAGGATTATACAAAATCGAAGCAACATCTTGGATGCGAGGTGAATGGGCCGAGCGGTTAGCAGGGGCGCCGCAACATACAGCCATGAAATCTGCACTGCTTTGAACGGCTCGCTCGCCTAATGGTTCTAGTGGTAGAGCAAATCTTCTCGGATACGGACTGTAAACCATAGACCCAGTGTATACAAGAACCCAGTACCATTCCAGACAAGTAAGGGGATACTCCAGTGTACTGGTAGAGACAGCCCCTGTGGTGGACGGCGAGTTGCTGGTACTGGGTAGCACAGACACAAAAGGATACTTAGGGGGAAGGAAGAAGTGGAATTATTTTCAGTCTTCTATCTCTATCTGTACCAAAAAGTACAATAATATTCTATAGAGGTAATGGGTGCTGAATTGTTATGCGCATTTAATTCTCTTGCACATGATTATTTTTTAGTAGTGATAAACAGCATCCTATATGTTAGGAAAGCATTTTTACCTCAACTGATTTTTAATATAAAAATTGTGTCTATAAAATTATGTATGATCAAAATTAAGACCTTTATAATAATATGTTGAATATAAATGTTGCACTCAAAAAAATGTTTTGAATTTCTGTTAAACAGAGCTTCTGCAGTTAATCAACATCACTTTTACTTCTTATATGAATACAATTTTAACAGTGTGTCAAATGGTCACAAGATAAATTTGAGGGTGTTGCTTAGAAGGGTTTTTACATCACAGGTACATTTATAAATTTTCTCGTATTTTGTTCTTGCAGGTGCTTTGACTGATTAAGCTGCCATCAGTACCAATGTATTGTATCAAAATGGAAGAGAATACCATGTGAAAATGTGTGGTGCAGCGTGTAAGGCATTGGACTTTCAATTGGAAGGTTGGGGTTCGAGACCAATGCTCGTCACATTGCTTCTATCCTTGGGCAAGACACTTTATCTGCATTTTTATCTCTTCACCCAAGAGTATAAATGGGTACCTGGTAGGAGGTGAATGATTCGGAATGAAATTAGCAGTCCGGATTATACGCTGTATCAGTAATGTGTCGAGAGTTAAGGAAATGCAATAATGTATCAGGAGACAAAAGTAAAATAGTCGCAAATATACTTTAATATAAAAACAATGTTGAAGAGTACACTGATTAGGACTGATGTAATTGTCTCTAAAATCAATACCCGAACGGATTGCCTAACTAAACACAGGTACATATATACATAGGGACAGGAAACAGGGATTGATGACTCATTTAATTAGTAATGCCGGGTCATTATAATTTTGGAACACATGCTTTACTGTAGTGGTGGCATCTTCCTGGAGGAGTAGTAGGAAAATACCACCTCAGGAATGTACATACAGTTAGTCACAGATTGCAGCACTACTACAGGTATGCTCTGGGGAACTAGAGGGGTGAACGCCTTAGGTGCCATGCAACTATAGGGTACTATGTTACAATATTCCTGGGTGAAAAGATTCATATGTAAAATAAAGTGTCTTGCTGAGGACACAAGCATGCAGTCTGACTTTCGCTTGAAATTCCAAAACTTTACCGCTGCGCCAACATGCCTCCTGTTGTGGTGCCTCCTGATATTTGTACTTTTCAAATCTTGAGATCCAAAATATGCCACATCAATGCTCATGTTTTGAGAGGGATCTCAACCTGGTAACCGAATGTTCATGTTCCCACTCGGATGCAAGTCAATAAAGAGGGCTTGGAAGTTAAGGAAGATGAGCAGCAAACGGTGACTCGTTTATAGACTTGATGAATGACAAAGGTAGGAGTGGTGATAATGTGGAATTGTTTCGGAATCGTAGTGACTTTGTCTTAGATGATGAGCATGTGGTGAGTCTAGGAGCTGTCAAAATCAAGAACAGGCATATGTATTGAAGGTAAGGTGCAATGCTAAAGGTTAAGCATAATAATTATTTTAATTTTTTTTTATAAATTATATATTAAATATACTCTATATTTATATATATATTTTTATATTTATATATATATATTTTACTATTTTTATATTTTTATTTTTATTTTTTTATATATTTATTTATATTTTAATTTTTATATATATAAATATATATATAAATATATACTTGGTATGTTGCGCTATTTTAATGCCAGTAAAACAATGTCAGACCAGGCAGCTCAATGTAATTTTATTGCCAAATAAATTGCGAATTGAAATACAGCTATACTTTTAATGACGATCCGTCCACCGACAATTAGCAGATGGCGTCGCATCATCGGCGCTCACAGGGAGTGAAGTTGGATTCGTAGTGCTGTGAGCTTAAGATAGTAATTTGTGTATTTATATTTATTATTGTTATGGGCATCCATGACCTTTTCCCAGTGAACGCATTTACCAATATAGTATCCTGTATGTTGTTTTATAAACAGATTGAAATATCACATAGGATAAAAGTTGATGAACATGGTAAAGAAGAACCTCTTGAACCAAGCATCTGCATGGAGGTAAGTTTACGTAACCGAATTTTGTTCATTTTGTGAAGTGGTGTTGCACAGCGATTGCGTTTCTGATTCAATCCCACGTTGTGCATTTCGCCTGTGTCCTTAGGCAAGGTACGTTACCTACAAGTAAGTGGGTACCCAGTAGGGTCAGGCACAAAATGCGCTGATTACAGAATCAACATTATGGAATTCTCCCCAGGAAGCTGAGTATGTGTTTCATATGTGCTTGATCCAGTGACAGGGGGTAATAATGAAGTGCTTAGAAGCCTTGTTGGCATTAAGCATTATATAGTTTTAACATATTTTTAAAAAATAGAAATTAAAGAGAATTGATACAATTGAACGACGTTATTTTCATGACATTCGAATTTCAGTGAACCACTTGATTTGAGACATAGATTCTCAAATTTTACCAAATGCCCAAAACATTTTAGGTTTTGCAAATAGTTAGTTTTAAGTGAAGGGGTTTTACTAAATGTTAAGGAGTAAAGTTTTTCTGTGGATTGCAATGGAAAGTGTGCATGGGTGCATAAAAATTAACCAAATGGGGTAGGAGAGTTGCTTATAATCCATGATATGGTGCAAGGGAACAGCTATTGACTGGGGACCATTTAGGGGTCTTGGTTGCATTTCTAGAACATCTACAAAATTGAAAATATATATTTTACTTATATATTATTATATTTATTATAATATATACTTATTATATTTTACATATGCAACCGTCAAAATTGTTAGGATAATTTTATACCTGATTCATTTTAATCAGGTATTAAGTTATCTTCAACAGCAATTGAACACTCTGTATGTTACTACAGAAGGTGTCGGCTACGAGTTACGCATCCTTTGCAAATAGTGTGAACCTACGCTGCGACCACTGCATAGACTTAAGGAATGTTTGAAGGAAGCTAATGTGCCATGTGGAAAAACAAAGTTAGTTGCAACAGCTTGTATCAAATGACTCTTTTCAGCAGGTTGGTTTACGAATATGATTTGTTTATGAAAAGGGTGTTTGTATTTTATTATGGAGGCACAATACTATTTAGGGTCACTAAGATAATGATTTCTTTTCTGTTGAGTATAGAAAATGTCCGCTAGGTAGGCAATTTGAAATTTTAAATAAATAACAACAATATCTAAATAACAAAGTAATTCATTTCATTTATTTTAATAACCATGATGACACTACTAGTATATGTATCAGCTACATATATTGGGTACAAAAGGCACTTTATCTCTGCAATATTATGGAATAATAATATAATTTAATTTGGTGTTGAGTATGTGTTCCATATGTGTTTGATCCAATGACCAAGGTAGTAATGTGAAACGCTTAGAGGCTTTGTGCATGAAGCGCTATATAAGAATGACATATTATTATTATTATTATTAACTCATTCCTCTAGCCATCTTCCACTGGCAGCAACAACAGAATATTTTATCATAAGTACACCCTGAACACCACCAGGATCCTTCTTCGCACTTTGCACCCGCCTGAATCATTCTGGCTTCACCTTTGATACACTCAATTCAATTCTATTTATTATTCTATCAACAAAGACAACTCAGAGATTATGATTTAATATGGCAGAATGCTTGAGGAGTTATAATATATAAAAATTCTTTTTATTGTTGCTTCACACCCGCCAGAAACATTCCAGCTCCACGTCTTATGTATTCAATTTTATTTGACGCATAGATCATAATTCAATACTTAACCATATACTAGATGAGGAGTTGCGTAATATCTCATATACATCATATATTTACTTAAAGTAAATATATGATGTATATTATATATTTAAGTGAATATAACATTAAATTGTAATTTTAAAAGCCCAATATTTTTAATATATGGTTTTGTTTTACAGGTTTTGATGATAACTCTGCTCAAGAAACCCTGAATTTTCTGGCACTTCAGACATTGATTGTGGGTCGTGGAACCAAAGAACTACGGAGGTACTTTCTAGACAAAACTCACCTTACAGAACCAGAAGTTAAACCATTTTTGACAAGGGAGAGGTGTGTATTACTAAAGGATGTTGATTTTGGAGATGAGGCAACAACAGTTTTGTCATCAACCAGCAATATTGTTGCATTCCACATGGAAATCATGATGAAGTTAATTCGCTACTGTTGTCACAATACCAACACAGAAGACGTCTGGCAGAACCCTCCGGTTGATGACAATTCTGAGCTGGCAAATCTTGTCCGCATTTATCAATATAAAAAAACTGTTCTAGACTGCAGTTACAGCAACAGTGTCACAAAAAAGGAGTTTGATAAGCAATGGAAGGAACTCACAGCAATTTTTACAGGTGTTGGAGTTCCTGTTGAAGACATTGAGAATTACCGGGACCCATGGCATTACAAGGATGGAGCCTTGGAAGGTAAGTAACTAGTCTTATTAATAATAGCTGCTGCTGCTGTTAATGCTGATTTTGCTGTTGATGCTGAGTCTACTGCTACTCAAGCTGATTCTGCTGCTGATATTTCTGATGAAGATGCTGCTGCTGATACTGAGTCTACTTCAGCCGATTCTGATTCTATTGCTGATGCTGATTTTGCTGCTGTTGCTACTGCTACTGATTTTGTTGATGTTGCTGATTAATAATTAATAATAATAATAGTTAGATTTGTAAAGCCTATCATGCAAACAAGCCTCTATGTGCTTAGTGATTGAGCCAGTTGAGGCGCCAGATTTTCCCAGATCGGCTTTCCAAAGTCCCTGACGAGAACAAAGTGGGTGTGGTCGGGTGTTGCTAAAAACCTTTCAAAAACAGTCCAAGTGGCAAAGCCCCCAAAAATATGACTCTTATTTAGAGGTTTCAAAGGCTTATTTAATCAATTTTAGAGTCCATTGATATGTAAAAAATATATAATTTTTTCCCCAATAATTTGTGGTTTTCTCCCCGACGGCAAAAGACTGGACGCAGTACTGTATATAACATTTGACACTATTATGATCTAGTACTACACTTAAATCCGCAAAAAAACTCGACTAATGTCGCTGCTACTGATGACAGTGATGCTGATTCTATTGCTGATGATGCTGATTTTTTTCTGCTGCTAATACTGATTCTTCTAGTATTTTGCTGCTGATGTTATTATTGCTGCTGCTGATGTTGCTGATGGTAATGATATGCAATAAAATCTAAATGAAAGTTGTGTATTAAAGGCATAATTGTAAATGTGACAAATTGAAATTAATTAAACTTACTCTTCCAAATTATTTTAAATTTTCATTTCAATTTTGACCAGAAATAGGTATTGGGCACACTGTCATTGAAGAAATCAAGAATTTCCAGGCTGTGTTATCGGCTGTTGTTGATGTTGGAACTGCAACCATGAGAAATTACATATTGGAGGTTAAAAAAATTAACAAAAACGAGGTTGGGAATTATCTTCTCTCCGAGAAGAGAAAGGGTAGCTTTAATAAAGTAATGAAAAATATCAGTAAAGAGCAGAAGTCAAAAATGTTTACAGCATCTGCTGACATTGATACATTTGATATCTCCATCATGTATTTAATCATTCGTAACTGCTGCATTACCATTCCAGAGTCATTTTGGAAAGAACCATTTAGATTGCCTAACTTGGTGCAAATCCACGACTATAGGAACGCAAAGCTGGCGCATTCCCCCGACAGTAGAATGTCAAATAAAGAATTTTAAATTGAATGGAAGAAAGTGAGATCGATGTTGCATGCTGCAGGTGCTTCTTTAACTGACATCGACAAATATAAGGCACTAAGATTCATCAACTAAATGCATAATTCTACATTGTATTTAAGTTCATGCTGCAAAATATGAATGCATGTGTTTGTATATTTCATTGTAAACATTTCAGCACTGAGCAATATTTCTGATTTTTAACTTGTCTGGTTTAATAGCACAACACTTCAGGTACCAGGGGTACACAATCACAACTTTACTAATTAGTGTTTACACACCAGTTGTAAATTGTAGCTTGCAGTGTCATAATGCAAAGAAATTGGACAGTACTGTATATGGCACTGATGTTGATATAGTAAATACTGCTGAGGCCATCAATAGCCATTTTGCACGTGTTTGCAATCTGCTCCCACCATTAGATACCAGTGAACTCCCAATGTTCCTTCCAGCAAGAGAACCACCAATAATTCGTGAATGGGAAGTTCAGAATGCCTTGAATAGTTGAAGAGTAACAAGTCAACCCACACCTCAGACGTACCTATCAGAATAATTAGGGAGCCTCGCAAAATAAAGCAACGCGTATACGAGTGGACCACGCGATGCGATTAAAGGCAGTTTAATCCCATAGTTGGCTACGCGTTGGGATTATTTTCCTGGGCTACTCCACTTCGTAGTGGGGAATTGATATCAGGCTTAGTGTAAAAACCCAATTAACACAAACAAAAACGTCTCGTATAAAAATAAACCCTATTGGAAGTAACGCAAGCTCACGTAATATTTCTGAGAATTACATTAATAATTTATCGAGATTATCGTCACCGTTACGATCAAAACCAACAGACAGCAAAAATATAAAACTAGGAGAGGCCTAGGACATAGATATTATACCTCCATTGATAGGGCCTATGCTTTGGCTTACTCAGAAAAAATTACGGAGTAACATTAAAAATTGATAACAGGCAATTTTTATGAATTTTTGTTAGGCCTAATTATATATTTTTACAGTCAGTCTTTAAAATTATCATTTCTTATATCGTTTTAGTATTAATTAAGATTATTAAATAAAACTGTCTAGGACGACAGACAGATATCGGTCTACTACAGTAGGCCTACATTCAATCATGAAAGATGTGTATAAGAGACAGGGATTAAACCGTGCTATAAAAATAGAGATAAATCGAATATTATTCGCAATGGGGACATATTTGCATCTACACCAGGGGAGAAAGCTAAGGTTTTTAATGATTATTTTAACTCTGTATTTAAGGTACATAATTTTAATTCCGTCTATCCCCATCTCCCACAATATCCTCTCGATAACCCTTCAACATTTCAAATTGATATGGAATCGTCCAACATTTTTGATCAGTATCTTGAACCACTCGTCGGCAACGCGAAGAGATTTTAATCCCCAACCACGCGTTGTAGACGGGTATACGCGTTGCTTTATTTTGCGAGGCTCCCTTAAAGAATTAGCAATCAAACTTGCTAATCCCCTAACTAAAATATTTAATATGTGTTTAATTGAAGGGCACTTTCCAAGTGTGTGGAAAACTGCTACGATAGTTCCTGTGCAGAAAAAGAACAAAATTAGCTCCTTTGATGGTCTTCGTCCAATATCCTTAACACTCGTCTTTGCAAAAGAGTTGGAGGCATTTATTGCCAAATGGATTATTGAGGACATTACTGATAAACTTGATATCAAACATTATGGTAACATTAAGGGTTCCTCTACTGTACATTACCTTGTTGACATGTTAAATTTTGTTTATGAAAACCTTGATAAGCCTAAACAATTTGTTGAACTCTGCACAATAGACTTTACAAAGGCTTTTGACAGAGTTAACCATACAATTATTATTACAAAACTGGTTAAACTTGGAGTTAGGCCATCCATTATTCCTGCCGTCTGCAACTTTCTGTGTGGTAGAACACATAATACCAAACTTGGCACACTTATCTTCCACCAGGACAATCTCAAAGTGGGGTCCCTCAAGGAACTAAGTTGGGACCCATACTATTTCTAATCTTAGTTAATGACGCTGCCATCAAAAGCTGTAGGCGGTGGAAATTCGTGGATGACCTAACTTTAGGGGAAGTAACCAGATGTGGAACTCCGTCAAATTTACAGAAACTCCTTGATAATGTCAGCGATTGATGTATTTTAAATGATGTTCAGCCTAAGCCGGCTAAATGCAAATTAAAGAAGTTTAACTTTTTAAAGCGTCAGCAGCTGAAATTGCAATGTAATATTGATAATTTTAATCTCCCGGTTGTTAAAGAATTAAAGCTGCTAGGTGTCATTTTACAGAATGACCTCAGATGCAGTTCAAATGTTAACGACATAACCTCAAGAGCCTCACGTAGATTATTCTGTCTATGTATATTGAAAAGGTAGTGCTCCAGTTGATGACCTAGTTACTGTTTTAACTTATTATGCGAAACCTGCGCTTGAATACGCCTGCCAGGTTTGGCATTCGTCTATAATGGTACATCAATCCAATCAAATTGAGAGAATTCAGAAACGGGCTTTAAAAATAATCTTGGGTTCTTGTTATGTTAGCTATGAATTAGCACTTGGACAGTTAGCTTCTCTAAAGCACCGTAGAGAAACCCTTCTCCTGAAATTTGGTAAGAGCCTTCTGGACTCTACTAGATTTAGAAATATGTTGCCTGCATATAAGTGTGAAAGACATACAAGATCGCTAAAGAGCAGTGATAACAAAGTATAGGATCCTCCCAGATGTCGTACTGAAAGATTTAAGAATTCAACAATTCCATTCCTTGTAAAATTATTGTAATTCTATTATTATTATGTATTTAACTCTTGCAAGAAGTTGATTTTGTAATCCAAACGTTTCAGCTTTTGCTGCTGGTTTGGAATTCGATGTTTTGATGTTTTAAACCTCAATAAATACGTAGCATACGTATACGTAGCATTATTTAAAAATTACTTAAAACTTTAAATGTTTATATGTGTGTTTATTAACGTTATGTACTGTGGTATCAGCACCACTTTATGCTAAAGCTCCTTAATTTTATTATTAATAATAATAATAATAATGTGAAGCTCTATGAGCTTACATAATCATTACCTTTGTCATTCGATTATGGAACATGAACTCGGGCTCCTGGGGGAGTATTTCGTAAAATTTCGTATTTTTGGCATTTAACCCTACCAGGTACCCACTTCTAGGTGGAGAGAAGCAATGCAGATAAAGTGCCTTGCCCAAGGACGCAAGTGAAATGCACAGTGAGGGATTGAAACCCCGACCATGAGGTTGAGAAAACCATCCTTACTGTGCCAAACCACTTCCATTAAGGGATGTCATTGTACAATAGTAGGTAGTTTTCGCCGCACAACATTAACCTGAACTTTAACGTCAGTATCCAAAATGCATGCGATGGCTCCCCCCTTTTGCAAATACATCGAAGTATGCATGCACAAACCCATAACTAACGTACATCGAGCATGTAAAATCCTGAAATTAACGTCATTATGACGTCATCCATTAATGATACATCATGCAGCGAAAACTACCTATTAATGAAAATGTTGATTTTTGAACAATCAAAGCTTATAACTGTATTTATTGTACTTACTTGGTACTTGGTATTTGCCATTCCATGACAGGAATATCTGGCTGTCATTGACTGATAAACAGTTGACTAAATACACTGCTGATGTGCTTATTCAGAGAGAGATCGGACTGGTGCTTTGCAGTTGATTTATAATTTAGTTTCATTATTATGTAACTTAATTTACATACATGCTACTTATAGATGTTAGTTTAAAGTTTAATATTGTGTATGGAAACTGTTCCTGATAAATTGATAACTCTTTAAAATTGTGGTAGTACGTATTCACATTATAGAGTTTAAGTAGGTTTTAAGAAGAATGTAGATATTCACCAAGGAATTTAGACCCTTTAAATTATGTTTACCGTCACCAACCACAGAATTTATGAAACAATTGTAGGTTTTTGAAGAATCAAAGCTTAACCTTTACTATGAGAGATCAACAAGAAATAAACTGTAGACATTTTTCAAATCAGGGTTGTTTTAAAGCCAGGCTCTGGAGGAAAAAAATGTTTTGATATGTGGTAGAACTGATTTTTCTAAGACAGAAAAAAGTTGTTTGACGAAAAACTGGGGAACGGTGAATGAGATACAGATTTTTTAATATTTAAAAACTGGGGGGAAAAGG